AAACAATTATGGAACCATAGAAATTCAGTATTGCATCATGACACGTCATGACACGCAATAACCTCTCTGTCTAGTTTTCAGTTATGCTCCGGTTCTGTTGTTTTTATAATGCCAGTATTACGAGATAGCAAAAACGTTTTCTGGCAATAAACCCAGCATGTCTGGATAAATCACGAAGCTAAGGATCGAGTTGTCTACCCGACTGACAAGAGGTGTGTAGGAATAACTGGATACAACCAACAGAGGAGTGTTGATGAACGGCTGAGCCTACACTCGCAAAACCCAAAATGTTCAACTCCACATGCAGTAGAAAGAGAAGTCTATCGGAGTGTACAATTCTACAAAACATGACTTATTATGTACAGGTGAAGTCACAGTTGTTAAGCTCGAAGCAAATATAATTGCTAAGGTATGTCATCATTATGGGAGCGACTCCAGCTACGAATTACCACAAGTTGTTTCCGTGAGTAAACTCACGCTATTAACATTACGCATATTCAACTGCAGGGCAAATAAATATCGCTTCCGGGAGCAAACTGGCGATATTAACAATACGTGTATTCAACTGCTGGACAAATACTTACCTACATTGGTTTCGATGAAGTAAACACTGACTGTATTATAGAAGCACTACAAAGACGGTGTCAAGTTTAACAAAGGTTTGGTAGAACTACTTCCTTGAGAGGTACTTTGACACGATGGGAACCGACTTTAGTTTCCTGGTGCATACGTTAGGGTTTATCCCATCCACAGGTGATACTGGTCAACTTGGCAAGGATAGATTGTTTCGTTTCACCTGTCATTTTCATGGATTTTACTCACTTTTGTGTCCTGATAAATGTCCGTCTCACACTTATTCAAACGTGTAGTTAGTCTAGTTAGGTCTGACTGCAAAATACTCCAGCTTGTAATTAGCAGACGGTGCGACACGGTGTATGGCGTTATTATTGTGCGCATGACTAGCAGAGAGCGCAGGTTGGAAAGGCATCCTCCTTTTTCAGATATAACTTTGGATTTTGGTCAACTCTTTTTGAAATATTGTGTTCTAGAACTGATAAGGAATCGGGATACGTCACTTAATCAAAAGCACACAAAAACGAGTATCCACAAACTCGCCATGTTGTGTAACCATAGCGTAGTTAAAGAGGTTGTGGAATGCTCGAAGACATTTCCGTCATTTTTTGGGTATATGTAGCCTAAGGTGTGATGAAATAAAAACGACTATTGTTTCTGTCATGAAATGAGCACAACTGGTACTTTTGAGAGCTATTTTTCAGGTCTTGTGTCGACCCAAACGTGCAATTTGTGTAAAAGTCGTCGTTGCGGGCAGCAAACAAAACACAGTAAATTGTGACGTAATAAACAGGAAAACAGGACTCGTTTATGCTACTCTGCATCGGGAGTCCTGTTTATTACGTCACGATTTACTGTGTTTTGTTTGCTGCCCGCAACGACGACTTTTACACAAATTGCACGTTCGGGTCGAAACAGGCATGACAGGACTTGAAAAACAGCTCTCAAAAGTACCTTTTGTACTCATTTTATGACAGAAACAATAGTCGTTTTTATTTCATCACACTTTAGGCTACATATACCCGAAAAAATACCCTCTTTAACAAACGGCGAATGTATTTGTCTTAGTTTTTAGCAGATTATCATGAAAACAATCATAAATATGATAGAATATTTAACAATACTAAATTGTTTGTAAGATCGGTTCTGGACAGATTCGTCAGTTCGTCAAACTCTGACTATTTATCTGAAATATTGTTCGATAATGAATCGAATCGAATTTGAACGAACATTGTATATGCGACAGGAGAGAGGACGAGAAACATTGGATCCTCATCAAATCAATTTTTTAAACTGATGAACAATTCTAGACGTCAACGTGCATACAAACGAATATATTTGTCATCCTCCGTTTTCAAATTTATTCCACAGGGAATCTGAGGCGTCTTTTCTGAGTGCCCCGCCCACTTTGTTAAAAACTCCAATCCACCGCTGCTAGGAGGAACGCTTTCATTGCCATGCAGTCTCGACACTGATGAGAAGGAAGGCGAGCATGAGGTACATCTTGCAAACCTTAAAGTACCTTAGCTACAGTTCCCCTGCATCGTTAGAAGTATCATACAAGCGACACTTCTAATCTAATACTTGAAATACATTGGGAAGTATTCGTGTATAATCCTGAGCCAACCGGCGGTGTTTACAGGTCAATATCCCCTGGACGGTTTTATCTGGTTGTTGCATTGTTTAGATTCGTTTTCACCTGCATTTGCTGTCTTTGGTATCAATGTTGTGACTACAACCTATTTTATTTGAGTCTCCCGGATTTTCCCCAATCTCATTATACAAAAGTCAATAATAGGGTAGTTCGCTATTACTTGATGCATTTTCAGGTGTTTACGGTGGGATGAACTTAGTCGTACAAACCAATTAACACTGCATGAAAATCAGACTGGCGCTGGCCTTTTCCAAAGATGTGAGTTGTATTCTATGCTTTACTCACAGTTCTGTAATACTGAGTCAAAACACTGCAGTGTATTTCATTTCTCTTTATCCGGTGTGTAAGTGTGACGTCATTTCAACTTAACCATGCTTCTGCATATGGTGTGGCATTGGAACCAATGGAACCGGAAGTAAGTGCATCTGGAGTGCTTAGCCAATGGGCGCTAGTGATCAGTGGGGCGCGCGCGTGTATATGACGCAGTCACTTACGAACCGGATAGTATCACTCCTGCCAAAATATGGTGAGGACATGCTTTCAAATCACTTTCATGTCTGTAACCATAATACCAAAAATCATGTAGGGCCTACAAATACAACTTACAAGCTTGAATATGCTAAATTGCGCAGTATGATATTATATTCAGATAAACGTAGTCAACTAAGCGTAAAGAATTATATCGAATATATCGCATATAAAAGTTGCAATTAAGTCATGTTGTGTTTCTGCATTATCGAGGCAACATATGTGAGCGGCTTTTCTTACCTTACATTAAGAACTTTTTACAAAGGTGTGTTTATTTTTTGAAACAGCTTTAATAGATGCCTCTCCTTTCACATATGAAAAACACGATGCAATTTATGTAAATGCAGCAATTTACATAAGGTAGAATGCATATTAATTTGGCAAAATAATGCATATATGCACGTGGCGTCTGTCTTCACAGACTAGTTTGTAGGAATATATGAATCTCCACTAAATACCAATTCAAAGGGATTCCATTTTTTTTTCATGAGAGTCTAATGGTATAGTTGTGTTGACAATGGAATATCCCTCAATCAATGTCTCTACTAAAGCGAAAACCTGTGCACACGCGATTGCGTTAGAACAGATATTTAGTCAGCTAGCAGGCCTGCATGTACATGTATTGAAAATATAACAAGTAATGTCAATTATGTAATAGAATATAAGCAGATGGAGCATTCAAATTAAAAATGCCGATTTTAGTCGTTTTTGTATTGATTTAAACCAGGATTTAGATTAATGATTAAAATAAAATAATTCAAATCAAACATCCCTGCTCCCCAAAACTATAACAATAAGAAGAAAGTCATTGGATAATTCGATCTGTCTGTGAAATGTATGTGATTCAACATATCTGAACTCAAATTTGTCTTAACATTTTAAACAGAAATTCAATGTTGGCTATAAGTTAGCAATATACCATTGCAATGCTAATAATCTGAATAAAAAGGGTGCTTAAATATGTATCTGTATCGAATGAATCATGATCCAAAAGCAAGATTAAATCAAATCAAATGAAAATCGAATACATGTATGAGCATTTATACAGCACTCGGTGCTAACTACAATCATTGTTGAGCTCCAACTCTGCAACTTTTTAAAATAAATCTTTCGAAGGTATTAACCAACTTATTCTGGTATTTTGTTAACCTGTTAAGTCAGTTTGTTTTTCCACATTAACTGGCAACCATTGAGCAGCTTCCGTTACCTTGCTTAAAGAACTTCTTTTCAAAATTGCTATTTTTTTTTGCACCTTCGACAGAACACTCTCCTTTCACCATTTTTTAAAACACTTTTAAAGGTAAACAAGATATCACCTCAATGAAATGAGCTACATTTCATATTTATTTCGCAGAAGAATGCATATGCACGTGTCATCTGTCTAAGTATATAGGTCTTTACTGGTGTTCCAAATATACAATTATGTCAATTATGTAATACACTATTTAACTTAATAATTAAATGCTGAAAACAACTGTGTACAATACGTTAAATAAAATAACATTGCTATTAGTGTTTGCTCCAATTTTTAGTTTTATAGCGATACCGACAGTCGATAATTTATTGATAACTTCACCCATTTTTATATAAATGTTTTGTGCAACTTGCAGGAATCTGTAAGGACATTTCCCAGTCGGCAAGTTATCAATTGAAAATAAACATTGTATGGCTTATTATTATTTTACTGTTTGTACAGGAATGTACTTTACGAAGCTAATGGTTATATAATACAATACTGGAAATCACTGTGTATTTTAGAATAAACGGTTCAAGTATTATTATAAAATTCGAACATTTTTATCTTTAAAAACAATCTTGCACTCATTTGCGGGAAATCAGAATATTATGAAGTAATACAAATTACGTATAGGTGAACGTTTCATTCAATGATGGTGAACAACAGCAATACCTCAGATTAAAATACCAATGTCCATGAACAACAATGTCAATCGGAGAGAAAAAAATGACATTTGGCACTGGTTTAAGACGCTTAAAATGCCATGTTTTAGCAATTAGTTTAGCCTGCCACCTTCTATATATTGTAAACGATTTCATTCCAATACACGGAGAGAAAAAGCTAGAAAGGTTAAATCTTTTTTTTCTTAGGAATGAAAGTGAGCAAGGAGTGTGTCCTATAGATCCATCTTGATCAATTATTATTTTAACATATTGGCCACTTGAAACAGACCTTTTCTTCAAACCATTTTCTTTTCGGATATTTCTTACTTGGGAATTTGCACGTCACTTATCTAATGACAATTTTATTGACATAATCCAAGGGATCACGGGCGGCGTTTGCATGGCTCCCGCTGGTTTCTCCGTCACTACACGGGCCGTCAGCACCAAAGGCGGTCTCCTGCTGCATCGGGACCAGATAGCTGTCGTCTGTGACACCAGGTTCTTCGCGATGTTCGATGGGTCGCTTACCAACCACACCCGCACTAGAAGCTGCTACGTAGTCACGGTCTCCCTCCAACAGTTCTTCCAGCTCGTTTGCAACTTCGACAAAGGTGCAACGTGACTTGGGGTTGTCCTGCCAGCAACGTACCATTATGCCGTAGCTGTATCAGTCAGCAAATGTAACAAGAATCATTAGATGCTGCATGCTTGATCGTATCAAATTCTGTTTGCATTTTTACTTGAAACCCCTGACAATACACTTTCCATCATTACTGATTACTCAAGCACATTGACCCTCCATTTTTGAGAAAAATGTTTGAGAATTGAGTTTCCCTTTTTTTATTTGAAACCCCAAACAAAACACTCTACACTGTTTCTCACAACTAGAGAGTGTTATTCCTACTTCAATTATGTAAAACCTTTGGGGTAAAAAAAAATGCATTAAGATCCCTTCACCTTCAGAAAAATTTGAGTAAAATATAAAAGAATCGTGCATACTTTTACAGAAGTTAAAACGGCATTATATGTGTTATTATTTAAAGGTAATGGTGACCGCTGTTTGAACATACATTTCTGGCGGGCAGTTCTTGGGAGCATCCATGCGTTGACCACTCTTCAAGAAAATATACACATCTTGGAGGGGTATTCCTGGATACGGTCTTGCACCCTTACTGAAAATCTCCCACAGGAGCACACCGTATGACCACTGTAGAAAACCAAAGAAGACAAATATTTTTCAATGTAAGAGACCATTCTTATGATGCCTGTTCAATTGAGCTACCGAACACTTTACATGAGCTAGCTGGAAAGGGTAGCCAAGATTAACGAAGATTGACCGAACTATACATTTGTATTTGAGTCTTTATTGAACTGTTTAATGAGATCTTGTGTCAAATGGAATAGACAACGTTCATAAGTAATTTAACTTAGAAATTAGTTGGAGGTGGGCGTCTTAAGACGAAATACTCCAGCTAATGAGGGTCAGGCGCCTTGAAAACATATCCGATGTAAATGATTAATAAATTGAAGTTTCATGACTGGGCACCGAAGTTCATGTAGTTTCTCTTTGATGGATAGTTCCACACAACGCAAAGAGATTTGCGCCACTTTCTTTCCCTTCAGATCTTTATCTAAACATCACCTAACATTCCAATCAAAGATGGACCTAATTGCATACCACGTCAGTCCTGGCGTTGTACACTCGACGTTCCATGGACTCGGGAGCCATCCATTTGATAGGCAGCTTAGCCTGGGCATCGCCGCTTGTGTAGTAATCCGATTCGTGCATGTCACGGGACAGTCCAAAATCCGCTATCTTCACCAGAAGATCGCTATCCACCCTAATGAGGTTGTTAAACGTTGATCTTACTTTGAGGTCACATCATTTAAGAATTGCAATACCATTAATTCGAACTCTGGAGTTAATTCAATGAATGCATGTCCCCTGGTATCTCTGGTGCATTAAAATTATTTTCGATGAAACAGCTGACCGATTTCTGGTAACATTCATTTTGCTTTTACTCAAACACACATATAAAGACATGTGTAAAAGCCCCAGATGATATAGAAGAGAGGATACACTTACATGCAATTTCTGGCCGCAAGATCTCTGTGGACAAACTTGTGCTGAGCCAAGTAACTCATACCAAGTGCGGCATGTGAGGCAAACCTCATCAGCAGAGATGTCGCCAAGGTCTAAATTAAAAGTAAAAACCTCCAATGAATAAATAAATACCACACTCAGAACAAAACACATGACATACTGTTTACGAAATGGGACAGCATTTTGTTTAATAAATCTCGTGGGTGAACTATTAATTATAAAACGTAACAACATCTACCAAAATCACCATTAAGTGAGTTCCAAACGCATGCCACTCATTACCAATTCATTTATCAAACCTTCCACCACTTATTATCGACATTGATCGCTCTTGACTACATACCTGTTTCTTCTTGACCAGATATGTCTTGAGGTCACCGTTTGCCATGAAGGGTATCACCATCAAGGGTTTTTCGTCAGCGTCAAAGGTCAACCCCAGAAGCCCCAGTACGTTGACATGGTCGAAGGTTTTCATGATCAGGCTTTCCTCCAGGAACTTCACCACATTTTTCGTGTCCGAGGTGTCTATATACATTTGTAGAAGCAAAAGTAAGGCATTTACATGTGATAACTGGCACGCCCAGCTAACATGTGGCCAAGCTAGTACACAAAAACAGGAACATGTATTTTTTAACTTATTTTCATCATCACAGAAATGCAATAACCCAGTGACACCGGACAACAATGTAATTCCTTTCAGTTCAAGAAAATTGTACAAGTGTCTCCTGACGACGAATAGAGCATACTGTTCGAAACGTAGATAAACCAATGGTTCTTCTCATACACACAACTCACAAAAAGATATCGTTCACATGGTGTTACCGCAAACCTCCCATTCATTGATCATGTCCACCTGCAATGCCTCAAGTCTCATCTAACATTTTACAACCCACAATTCGCAATTTTTTAATAAAAAGACTCTTTCGCTTCTTTCATTCAAGACGCACATTGATTAATGTTGTTAGAAGTTCCTCTTTCTCGGAATAAGGTCATCCAACACCTCTTCTGCAAATCTAATCAGCAACAAGTATACTCAAGATTAAAATGCATACCATTTTGAAATGGGCCCTTTTTTAACCGAGGAACAACTTTCCAATGCTCCGTTTCGAATCTACACTGTCATAGCAAACATCTCTTACAAATGGCCGACATTCTCATCACCAACCTTGCACTGTCTTCACTGCTACAATTTGATCTTCCCCTGACGTGTTGTGTAGAACAGCTTTCAGTACACGTCCAAATGCACCTGTAAATTTTGGTTAAGTGTATTATACTCATCTATACTGATTATCATTTGCTAGTACCGAAGAACTATAGCCAGATGGCAGACCAACCGACCTACCGACTTACTGACAGACCGAGCGACTAAAATAATTTCCTAAAGGTCGAAACGTGAAAATGCGTTTCAATAACAGTTTGCACACAGCCCCTGAACTTTATGTAGGCCTCTCCTTCTCAGGTAAAATAACAGCTTACACTTTGAACTCATGAAACGTTCATTGTTTTCTCGTACAAAATCACTACCTTGTCCGAGAGTTTCCCCCAATTCCAGTTGGCTGAAGTCGATATGAATGTCGTCGGGAACGAAGCTGACCTTGTTGTTCAGGACAATGCGCTTTTGTTTTGGCTGAGCAGATTCCGACTGTTTCTGGGATCTATACCACCTGCGTCTTTTGACATGGGAGTCAATTTCTGAAAAAAAAGAGATACAATGCCACATTAACAGTAAATAACGTAATATAGTGGTAAGTTTACGAGCACGTTCAGGCTTACAAATCAACAGACAAAACAACCTTTGCATGCTACACAAGATTCAAAGTTGTCTAAAATGACAAGCACAATCTTGACAAAAGAGTTTTATATTTATATTTGTTGAGGAATTTGTTTCATTCTGTCCACGAGTTTACAATTTACAGTCAATTAAGGAGGTTGCCATTGGAATTCTTTTTCCATGTATTTTACCATCAAAACCGGCTGCCCGTTAGCAGCCATCTTGAGTTGATTTTTTTTAGAATTATATATATCATAATTTAATACGGAGATGTGCAGCTACGTCCTGTTTAATTTTTTTTCTAAACTATCATAATTATGTTTGAAAAAAAGAATTGATAAGTAGCCGTTAGACACAAGTGATGAAGAATAAATGGATATTAAGTTTGAAAGGGTTTCAGGATGTTTACTATTTCGCCATCTTGAGATCGAGTGATTTTAAGAGCACATTCCTAGGTAGAGTGAGAATATCCCTTTGCCGCAGTTTTGTGCACCTTTTTTGGCATTCAGGAGTATAATATTCGAGTTTACTCAAGTCACCTCTTGCCATCAGCACTTACCGAGATGAATCGCCACTATCCTGCCCAATAGTCTTCGGTTGTGGGTGCGCTTCCTTCGCAATTGTCTGCAATACACGAAGGTAGCAGCGAGCAGTATCGCCATGGAGAGTAGGATGGTCAAACTCGGTACAAGTATAGCGACAAGTGGCACCGTGGGATAAACCAAGTAGCCCAACTTGCATTTTAAATTATTGTGACGAACCTATGGAATAACGCAAATGAAATGATAAACTTTTCAACAAATCACATGGACTTAACCAACTAGTTAATGTCAACGTTATCAAAATTACTTTTGAAGAAACAATCAACAGTGATGGAAAAGTATAGAGTAATTACGGTTTGGGGAGAACTGATAGAAATCTGGTGATGTTGTTGCTTTCGGATTGAGTAAACTGATGTTCACACAATCTGAGGAACACTGTATAAACCTTAATAATATTCAATCCTAGATGAGCCGGTTTTCTTGGTCATTTTACAGCCAAGCGGTCTTCTCTTCCGATTTCGGGAATGTAATGACCGCATAATTATTATAAAATTCTGCCATGCATAAGGCATATTAATATCACCGGAGAAATTATGATTCAATTTCTTTAATTGATTAACCCTTCATAATGTCGAAACAATTGAACAAAACCTGAAAAGGAACATTACATTTACAAAGTTGTACTTAAGATTTATTGGAAAAATTGCAGAAAAACTTCATTTCTTTGAGATGTTTTTAAGGACAATATGAAATTAGCACAATTAAAAATTACCGAAACGGATAAGCCCCCCCCCCGGGGCATCAAAATAAGGAAAACAATTGGAAGAAAAGAGCACTTGACAGCTACCTCTCCCCACCCTCTGATTCAAATCCGCCCCTAACTTACCCATACCACAGGCAGACCTTTCCCAGAATCCTCTCCCATGTAGTCACTGGCTGCTGGTGCCTCATCGGGCAATTCACATACGAGTGTTGTCCCAGTGAACAGGCTAATGGGACAGCTCTCTACTCCGATCGTCACGATGATTTCTCCCTCTGTGATGGCGCTGTCAATCCGCTCGCCCTGTTAAAGCATCCACAGGTGGTTCAAGTTCAATTGATTTTAAAGGAAAATTAGAGGTATCTGGATTGGTATATTTTGGACAGATTTAATCTTTTCGGTTGTGACAAATGATTTTTTTTTTAAAAACAAAAGGTTATAACCTGTATGACACGTAAGACTTTCTTCTTTTTCTTCTCATGTTCATGTACCCCTATACATACCGTATGGGGACTGATGTTAAAAAAAAAAAAAGGACCTTAACTGTTATTTCACATCACTCACATCTAGATTTGCGCTTGCAATGACTGATCTGAGCTTATGAAGTTTTGTAACTCAGCAAGAGTTACCAAGATAGGCCTACTGTATTTTGGGAAGATCCACTTGATTCAGGAGGAAGAGATATCAACTTGAATGTATCTTTAGTCACATATTAGAGGTGAAATGCACAGCACTGTATAAGTGTGCTTCGTGCAGTTTTACCGACAGGCCCCATATCTACAGATAGAAAAGAACACAACAATGAAAAGGATAGGCACAAAGAATAAGACACGCATACCAACCGTGATTTTTAAGGTTTCTCCTTCTTTGTCCTTCATACCATCTTCAAATTTGTTATACACTGGATCCTCAAAGTACTCCAAGTTGGCATCGTTATCCTGAAACCATGTCAACAGTTGAGTGACCCCATCCATGATGAAGCCAAAGGTCAACTTTACATTGCTCGTGTCGAGGTCTCTTATGTTTGGAGACGGGCACCGCATCTCTGTTGCAGATTCACCTTGACATTCCTGCAAAATAAAGACCCGCAATATTCAGTTGACAATTCTGTACAGCATTAGCTCCGGTTGCAATGCCACCTCTCTTTGTTTCTACTTTAAAACAGGAATGTTTTTAATGATGTAATGGCTGCCACACTTTACATAGTACACTTTTTGCCATTTTCACATTTAAAGTGGTCGTTCACGGTAACTCAGCAATATAGAAGTTTTAAAAAGTTTCCTTTTTAAGATCACTGGATCCTCAAAGTACTCCAGGTGGACATCGTTATCCTCAGACCATGCCAACAGATGAGTGACCCCATCCATGATGAAGCCAAATGTTTCATTGATCTCTGACAAAGTCTGTTATGTTAGGAGACAAGCACAACATCTCTGTTGCAGATTTAACTTCACATTCCTGCAAAATAAAGACGTCATCAGTTGACAATTCTGGTCAGCATTAGCTCTGGTTGACAATATGGTACCTCTCTTTGTTCTTACTTCAAAACAGAAATGTGAGTGTTTCATGATGTAATGGCTGTCACACTTTACATTGTACAATTATTGCCATTTTCACATTAAAAGTGGTCGTTCGCGGTAACTAAACAAAATTTAAAAAATAAAGGATTTAAAAAGCTTCCTAATGATATATGTTGCAATAGTGGAGCAAGTAGATAGAGATCGGTGGTTAAGGGGAGGTTGAGCAGGGATAGGGCAGATATAAAATCATTTATGCAGAGATCAAAACACATTTCTCACCTCCACTTTACGATTACCGTTTCCATTAGTGACAACGATTTGACGGTTTCTACTTGTGGTTAGAAAAGTCCCAGTAACCGTCAAATTTCGACCACCCCTGACAATTAAAACACCGATAACAAATACTGGAAAAACATTCTACACTGAAAGATACTGGTAGGTGTAACATTAATTTAAACAATTTAGAAATGCACGCACGTGTTCACCTTCAGACATTTTCAGCAAATTACATTTTAAAGTTTAGAATCAGCCATAACATTTCACTGTTCATTCAAATAACAGTAGTCTTCAGTAATAAGAAGATTTGTATTAGTGTGCTTCTGAAAACAGCCATGCATAAACTTGGTTGCAAGCTTGCTACTTGAAAGCGTTTCTAACAATAGAAACATAACATTTTACTATTACCCTCATTTTGTTGTTTCTGTTTAAAAATATTTTTAAAACACAGACATTTTCATTGGACAATACAGGCTGTAATACAAATTAGGTAGAAATAATGTGGTCGATACAAATTGAAGTATATACCAAAAAAGCTATACCATAAAGCTATACAAAATAGCCCATCATGGTAAAACAGATGAAGCCAAAAAAATCATGTAGACTTACGAAACGATGCTTTTCAGAGGAGACACCTCAGTAATGGTAGGATTCTCAGCGTACGTGTACATATCTGATGAGGTTCTCATGGCCCCATCGAAGGAGACTTTCACAACACCTTGATATCCAACTTGGCCAGCAGTGGTTGTGCATTCTAGCATGGATTCAACCGGTTTGCTTTACAATTTGGGAACGAAAAAAATCACTTGAGACAGAGGCCATGCAGAGTTTTCTGCAGAGACATAAACGTGAATTCATCTCTGTGTATGATGCTCCTTAATACTGGATGGATGTATAGCAATTGTTTTTCAAGGTAATTGGAAATTGGACGAATTTAGAGCAATTCTACAGAACAGGATAAAGTAGATTTTTATAATAAAATATATAACTAACACAAGCCGTTCCACAAAGGTGGGAAAGGAAAATTTAAGCAACTAAAGCTTGATAGAAGTCTAAATGATTTTGTTGAAACTAGATATTGTACCAATGTTGGGGAGATCCCTCTTTTTCCTGAATTAATAATGATCGTACAAAACACCGTTATTTGTTTCCAATGAATGCTTCAATAAATGTCATTCCAGAGGGGAAAATTAGACAATGCTCCGATTTTTGCCGTATGCGCAACAATTTGAATAATGATGTGTATTACGACAGAGACACAGTACCTTGTTATGATGCAAGGATTGTCGCCGATGAACGCTTTAATATTGCGTCCTGTGTTGAGAGCTGTACCATTCACACTAACTGCCGTCCCACCGGCTTCTGGGCCGAGGCTGGGTTGGAATACTGTAATTGTTGGGTCCTGGTAACGAAAAACATTGTATAAAAACAGTAGATATTGTATGATAACAGTAAATATGAACCTTTTCCTGGACGCTTGTTCCAATGTCAGGCAGATTTCTAAGGGGTTATCTCAATGTATAAGGAAAACTGATGCAGGACGTGACTTACTGTGAAGCTAAAGTTGACCGTTCCTGAGCTGTACTGCATTGTACCATCTGCACCCGTGACTGTCAAAGTAACCAACTCATCTCCTTTACTCTCTGCTCTCGTTCGGCAGCTGACACTGAAACGTAAAATGATATATGAATTTGAAATATATGGAGGTTGAGCAAAACTCCTTAACTTCATCGACTCTGGAAAATAATAACATTAACATGTTAAGCACAAAATGTATACTTTTAAGATTTGACAATGTTCAACAACATGGCACACATTCCGATGTTAACTAGATTGTGAATTGAGAATTCTGTAGGGACAAAAATACAATAAACATTTGATTAGAAATTCGAATAATTTTTAAGCAGGGCACACCGACATTGCCTACAAATAAAGAGGAAAAAAAACGTATTATTACTGACAGAGAGCAATATATCGATGAAATTGTTCAATAGAAAGATTTTTAAAATGTGAACAAAAAGACGAAAAACTGAATAGCTGAACATAAGTCAAAGCTTGAATAAAAAGTACAAGGTAATGTCCTTGCATGAAGTATGATTTGACCCTACCTTGCTCCAATTTGGTAGTCTGAGTTTAATCCAGCCAGATCACATGGTTGATCGCCAACCATCACCCTCACAACATCACTCAATCTCCGACCGATATCAGTTCCCATCACATCTATGACTGTGTTGCCTTCAATGGGCCCAGTCAAGGGAAATACCTAATGCGTGATTTTGGAAACAATAATAACATAACACACAAAAGTACAAATATCACGGAATAATGTATTTCATTACAACTCATTATTAGTAAAGATGCATTGGTAAATGCTCTTGAAAGATAATTTGTTCAACTTAGCGGCTTATATGCAGTCATCCATATCGACCTACTTTATATAGTGGGTATTACGCCTTTGTTTATGCAGTCATAAAAATGGTTGTTGTTTTTTCATCTTGCACGGGAATGAAATTCCTTTTTTTTCATTTTGTCAAAAAGGCACGTCAAATGGATACGAGATGTACTTCATTTGGTGACAGTAATCTTTGATACTTTGTAAGAACTATGGATGATTACAAACATGTTGACAAGTATCCTCGCCTGGAATATTCATAAAAAAAATATTCAAGATACTTCAAAGCGAATAATATTCAACTGGAGAGTTGTATATTACTTACCTCACTCAGAACTGGATCAGGGCAGTTCAATCCATTATCCAAAGTCACCCTATTTTCACTGCAAACTTCATTCAGTTTGCAAACACCAGACTCGCTCGGCATGGCACCACACCAAACACAATCGAGGGCTGAGCGGGCTGTAACACAACGGCTGCAGTCTGGCTTCTGGATTTTACACTTGTACAATGTAACTGTTTGATATGAGCAGAATACAAGATAATGTCATGGCTTTCAACTCCACATTTTAAAGAACAAACTCCAATGCAAAACTGTTGATAACAAACAATGAAAAGCATATGAAGAGTTTATTTTAAAAACGCGATATATCCATTTCAAAAGAAGGTAATTTGCACGGTTCTGAACTTAAAGAATATTAAACCAACGTCATTTTCGCTTTATTGTATTCTTAAATTCGATACTGACTTTTGGAAATAATCTCATATTATATATAATAATATAATTATGCAAAAAAATCCGAATACGAGCTAATCAAACTTTGGCAGATCTCTCTTCTGGACAGACTGTTTTGTACCATAAGGCACTCATCAGCAGAATTGTGAATTCAATTGTGACAGAAGACGATTTCATTGGATAATAATATAACTATGAATAAACATTTTAGACTGACGAAATCGTAAATCTCCTCAAATTATTATCTATCGGTCCTTATTCCTTACCATCAAATCCATGTATGTCATCTAGGATGTGCGCAACACCGCTTTTGTCAGTCCATGAAACAGACAGTTTCACTTCCATCTCTGGTTCATCATTGGAGAGGTAAGTGTACTGTTGAAGGCAAGCAAACAATCACCTGTTAATACATGAAGCTCAAAACATCAACTTTGTGTCTGGCCAGTATGCATAATAAGTGATAACTTTCATTCTTATAAAAAAAACCACATAGCAATCTTAGTCACAAAATAAGTTGGAATTTAACTTACAGCCTTATCTTGGCATGTGATCCTATCTCCATTGCGATCTGCATTAACAGCCTGAGGTGATCCCTCTATATCTAAGCTGCACTGATAGCTAGAAATCTGCACATGGGAAAAACACAAAGGGTGTAACGACTAATATTGATCTACAAAGTTAAGTGAGACAGGGAAGAGTAAATTTGAGATTTACTCGGCAGTATTACCCCCATCATATCTGCGTTTCATAGACTTCAGTGAAGGTCTTATAAAGTAAACAGCGTTCTTTAAAAGCTCAATACTTGACAATGCAACGCCAACATTTTTAATGCAGTTATTCAGCAAATCCAATAAAGGTTAACCGATATAATGTAGACATGCATAATGAATTGCATGCCACCAAAGGACAATTGCAGCTTATCCTTCAAACAACATTAACCTATATCTAAGCACATGCAATGTTTACATTGATAACAGTATATATGATTATATAGGATGCATGGAGCATTTGCAAACTGGCGGGCCCACCTCAAGTGCATACGATCCAAAAGGTCTTGTTATCAAACAATAAATGATAACTTCGCAATTCACTTTGCATTGAATGTCATAAAGAAGGTCAGATATCTAGACCAATAGCATTTAGCAAACTATTTCATAAAGTATCTCAAGGGGAAATTGTAATTTTCTTCGAGAAAAAAATTAAGCAAAGTGGTAACTGGACTCAGAGAAATTATGAAAAATTTCACTAACAGGCATTGACATGGGAATGTTCTGATAGACGGAGCTTAACGTGGACATCACTTACAGACTGGCATTGTTTTTCCCCAGCCATTAATAAACTAACCTCAGCTTCGTCTGGCAGGTTTGTAGTCATGACAGTGATGTTCCTCATAATGTCATTAGGAAGCAGCACCTCAGCAGTCTGGTTAAGCAGCTGAGGGCAAAACTCAGGTTCCTTGACTGCAGAGGCGGTTGAATTCTGTAGGTAAACGCCAACAAACAACAAACTATGTCATTGCCTGAACCCCAAAATACACAAATATATATGAAATGATCAACAGACATCTGAAAGACATTAGCTAAATTCTGAAATAAAAATATAATTTCAGATACTTCCACGGGTGTTTAATGGGAGGAGTACATGACAATTAGTGTCGTTTTCAATAACTAATGCACAAAATACGTATTTACCGAATAGTCGACATATATGATTCTACAATCAACAGATTTAAGCAAAATAAAAGGTTTTTTTTCTTTTCAAAATTTGTATTGGCTGAGCTCTTATACTTTTGTTCTCACGTTATCTCCAGTAATGATGATTTCATTAGCACGTGTGCATGTGGAGCTTTCATGAGTACATCTGTTCTCAAACACGCACCAATCACAGGCCCAGCGACTACCAACGCAGGATACACAGCTACGTAAACAACCCAAGAAAATTTCATTATTCATCGATTCAAAATATCACAGGCAAATGTACTGAGGGGGGATATGCATTAAAACAAACTATTCAATTTTAAATACAGCTGATTAATAGGGTATACGCGAATACTCACGAAGTGTGCGTTGAACACTCATAGAAGTAGAAGTCGGTGTCTATGAATTGAACTGAAGTTTCAGATGATTCGACACCCAAATCTACGTGTACTGCATCATCTTAGCAAAAAAATAAGAACAAAATCACCTCGTTTATGAGTTGAAACAGACAATCACAAAAATTAGCGTGTATTTAAATCGATTTTTGTGGGAACCAAATGCAGATATCATTTTCATGCTAACAGACAGCATGTCATTGTATCATATTGTACTGCCTATGAACACATTTCTCTGTTGATATCCTTATGATTAGCCCAATAATGCGATTGAATGAAAAACGACACGCTGGTTCACAAGCATAGGTTCATTCTAGAATGGACAAGACGGAAACTACTGGTCAACTTTTTGAATGTTTGCTCTGTACATTTTTGCCCTGAATAAATTCATATGGGTGTCTCTTATTGCACTTGCCTCCTTGTGGAATGGCAGGTATCCCATCACTAGGAGGTGACGTACACTCTAGTACTTCACCATTCTTCGTAGCTGGAGATTCGAATGACCCAAAATGACATTCATAACTCTGGCCTGTCCCTAGATCAGGTAACTGCTGCACAGTCAGGGTGATCTAAAAGTGAAAGTAACAAATATATTTTTAAATACTAATATTAATTTCATTAATATTCAATGAACTCCACGAGCTAGCTCCATTAATCAGGGATACTATAGACGAAGTTGAAATACATGGGTGAGCTCCAAATGAATGAGAATGAGTGACAGGTATAGTACATGAAGCACGACATTCTGAATCATTCCGACGCATGATAAAATATTTTCTTAGAGAGTCACAAATTTTAAAAAATAATAAAGATGTTTGACATCAAATACACATCAGGTCTCTGTACAAAGCCAAAATTCATTAAGAATACAGAAAATCAGTTGCATACAATATTTACTAATTTCAATTAAGGAGGCAAAATGATTATGCCTTATATGATTGAACTATAGGCGTCGCTTGAACTAAACATGTATAGGCGTCCCATTGATGAAAATATTTCCGCATACCTATAGGCCTATCTGGATATGTCCATAACAAATCTGCACTTTGAAGTAAGTGTTTAAGTTTAAGCATGTTTCAGTTTTGTTCCTATAAGGATGTGAGTATTAGATGTAATTTCAATGCATCTGGCTCTAGCTCACCTGTTGCTCAGTGACTGTAATTGGTAGGTTATCATAGGGAGCTACATCGGTAATATTAATGCACTGAGCAGCATTGTAGGCCAACCATCGAGTAGATACATCAGGTGATGGACAGTCGGAATATCTCGTACATCTAGGCAAGAATTCAATGTTATCACATGACCAGGATAGCTTGGTAGTCGACAATCACCAAACAAAAACCAAAATTGAAAAACATGAAATGCTCTACTTTCTAGATTTTATTGAGAAACAACATTAAGTCACCATAGAATTTGATGAATCATACGAAGTTTCTTTCACGTACAAATAACATTGGACACCCATGCAATGAATAAGCTCCTTATTCTATATAAGGAACGAACTCTATATTAGTCATAAAAATAAAAAGGAAGTTCTTGCACTGACACAATCAACAACTTAACTGACCAGCTGTAGGAACTCTCCCAATAACTTACTTCAATCCATTCCAGAGTACACAACCTATAATATTACCAACATTATTAATGGATCAGATCTAATTGTTGGGGGTTGTTGCACCCCGTCTGAGTGGTGATAGACTACCGTTTTTACAACTTCTCGAACGACCCATTCACACACTTTGGAGACATCCCGTGTGACTTACCTTCGTTCCAGAGTGCACCATCCACAATATGGGTCTCCATTATTCCCTGCATCAGTCCCAATACACGTTTGGCATGTAGTGTACTGGCTACAATTCTCCACGCGAAGCTTCATCAACTAAAGTGTAAAACAATTTTTTTTTTTACAATCTTAATGATGAGAAAAAAAGTATTTGATTTCATTAGGAAACTTGTTTTTTTCCTTACCATCTTGAATCTGGTTTTTAGTTTACGAAGCAAAGGAACAATGTTTATTTTGTGAATTTGGCCAAATTTGCTATGCTTTTCGTTGTTATTAATAATACACAAAGCACCGTGTTTCTGTGGCTTTTCATAAATGACTGGAAATCTAGTTGCTGTTTAAAAAACCCACATGTGCTTGTCAGCTTAGCTTTTGACTTTTCTTTTTCTGCTAATGCGAAGCACACGGGCGAAGCTTAATGGAGCAGAGATAGCAATTACTCAGTTAACAGCAGTCCTCCTAGGCAGGTTAGGTATGCGCTTACCTTTTGTTCCGTCAAGAGAAATAGTACACGTGCTGTCTCATTAACCTTGACATCTGGCAGAACTGGACTGGTATCAACACTAATGCGTTCATAAAGTCGGCTGGCAGTGTTACTTTCCATATGAACCTTATAACAAGATGACAAATACGACCTAAATACATCTATTTACACCTACATAGAGAGTTAAGAAGATTTGACACGGATGTGGGGAAATTACATGGGCAACCAGGCACTGCTTGCCTGGAGTGTTTGTTTAAGCACCGCCGTTCATGCAAGCCGATTTATTAAGAGAGACCAAAACTAGCCGATATTTTTTATTTTATTTTAAAACAATAACTTTCGAGAATCGTGATATGCATCGTAACAGTATAAACCAAATACTTGAGTGCAAGTGATGTAAACAAAATGTTTGAAAATAAAATTGCTGCTGCACAGTACAGCTTATTAGGCTCTACGACGACATCAGTCATGCATACTTCTTAATCGAGTAGGGGTAATTTACCTTGAGTAGATCTCCACTCGATGTCCCGATTAAAGCGATGGTGTGGTTGACTTCTATAGTGGTTATGATTGATGACATGAGAGTACCAGGCAGCTCTAGAATTGCCGTGGATGGAACGGGGGCTATGCCCTTTGCGTACTTGAATAATGGCGTTTGAGATGCATCATTGGTCACGGGTATGCAGAAATAGCGATCCAGAATGTCAATCTATAACGAAAGTATAAACAAGAAGAATAATTAAACAGACCTCTACTCGATGTCTCAGTTAAGCAATAGCTTGGTTCAACGGGGGTAATTTGCAATTATCAACGACACACAAATCCGGGGAGTTCAAGGAGAGTCGTTGATGAAACGAGAATGAGTGCTTTAGCGTGTTTATATCACATTGATATATATCAGCCAGAAGATTGCAAACAAGGTTTTCTTGTTCAACCTAACACACAACTTTGAACCCATTTAAATTGTTATGGTTGCATATATTCTGCAAAAGTTTTTTTAAAAGGTTCAGCCTTAAAATGAGGTGGAGTTTCGGGACGAAGGGGACTTGACTTGACATAACAGGTTTGCTATGTATTGTTTTAACATATTTAGGGGCCTCCAAAGTAACACCGATTGGAAAGCTGTGACTTTTATAACATTCTGCAACTCGTTGAGAATAAGGGTCGGATTATCCGGACCTTTCTTTCAATTACTAACGCACCGCATGCGGTCAATACAATTATGAATGGTATATAAGTCACAAAAAGGGTAAAATCCCCAACAAAACCATTCTGTCTGGACGCGCTGTTTTGGTTAATAATGAAGGCCAATTCCCTACACGAATGATGAGCAAAATGTGGCATTTAGTGATTCACATTTTTCTATTTCACAGAAATTATCGAAGTTTGAATTTGGGCCTTCCAATGCACGCATATATGAAATTTTCACTTGCACGGTCACGTTTTGGACAAGTAAAATGGAAATTCTCCATCAACTTCTTCAACCTGACGTATTTTTAAATTTAAATTTCATAGGGTTTCATCTTCCAAATCGTTGGTTTGAAAATAAATCTCTGAAAACTATTCTGAAAATCTGGACTCAATTTTACTTTCAGAATGTGCAGCTACGTGAACATAGAAAATAAATTAATATTGCAATAACGGCTTATTTGTAATACATACAGGGCGAGTCAAAAAGAACGTGACAGCAATTTTCACCTACTTGTTGAGCATATTTCAAAAATTCAATTTAGTGGCATTAAAATATTGATCTTTAAACGAAAGTGAGGAAAAAAATTATAGCAAATGCATATTTTGTCTGAGATAGGGTATTTAAAAAATAGTATGTGCAAAACCTGTTTGTCCACAGACGGCTTTATTCCAATGCATCCGCTTGACTGAGTTCCGAAACCTGATTAAAGACCAAAAAAACCCACTACACTAGACCTTCACGTGACAACGGTGATTTTGGTGACTTGTATTCAATTTAGCATAATAACACTATTCTTGCGATTTTTAAAAGATTTTTTTCACCATGTATGGTTCAAGAGCTATACTTTATGCTACATTATAAACAAAAACCAGTTCAAATAAGTTAAGGTTAAAATTCCTGTCAAAATTGGGTTTCCTTCTTTTTGCACCACCATGAATTTTGGAGCCCCATGCAGTTGAGTCTCAAGTGTCCATAGAAAATCCGACATAACTCCCCTTTCCCCAATAAAAGTCAAGAAATTTGATCTGTTTCATTAATATTGATCCTCAGTTGAAAAGTAAATCAGTTTGATAATTGCTCTGAAAGTTATTTAGCCTACTGCGATGGCGTGCAGAGCTTACATTGAAAAACCGACAAACCCACCCGTTACCGGCAATGATCAGACCAGGGATGTCGATTAGCTACAATTACAGTACAGATCGTAGCCGGCCTGGGGAAAAGATAACATACCCAGGGGTATTTGCGGATCAGCGATTCTGTTTTGTTGATGTGCCTTACAAACTTTTCAGCCATCGTACTCAAAAGTGAATAATATCTTCATATTAGCATAGAGCATTATAGTTGAAGTATTTGGGCATTCGTTTCCCGGTAGAAAAGATATATTTGTGTTATAACACCCTCACTATTCATAGTCATAATGCTTCTCAGTGCTTTTGTCATTCGTTAGAACTGCTGATTGGACCAATTATTTTTCTCAGTATGATAATTGCTCCATACTTTGTGGTACGTTTAAACTTATTTAAAGGAGTTTTGGGTCTCGTGCTGGAATGACTTACCAGCCAAATAATTGCTTTTTATTTTTGAATCTGAGGCATATTCAATGACTCACGTTCCTTCATTTTTCATGATTTGAGTTCTTTTACCATATCTTCAAGGATATAAACGATTTAACATTTCCTTATTTTATCACGAGTAATTAAGCTACTCATTGTGTTTCATCTCCAGTTGTTCCCATAGAGTGAACAATAAGTATAAGGATGTTACGTGAAAATAGAATCATGTGAGAACAAAAAGGAGCATCTAAACGTTGGTGGATTTTTAAGTTAAAATGTGTCATTTAAAGTGACACACATTATACTGCTAGGAAAATAAAATTGGGAAAAACAAATCCACTTTTCGAGGTGAAACTCGAAACAGCACGGGGAATTTATCTTTGAATCTCATTACAGAAATGCCAACATCATTTCAAATATGCTTCTGTACTCACCCCGAAACTACTGCAAAAAGAACCCTCCAAATAGTCAACAGAGAAGGCATTTCCATTCTTTATACAGCCTGTGACTGCTGCTTTGAAGGCAGCCAAGATATCCGTCATCCTGTACACACACAATGCTGAGTGATCGATGGGTACATGACTGGTACCCGGAGCTCCTTGGTTCTTGGCGAACACAGCATACAGCACCTGGTCGTCTGCATGGAGACCCAATGATGCCGCTAGATCAGGTCCTGCTGGTCCAAAGTGAGCTGCTTGCACCAAGCTGTACACACTGCCATCGGATCCACTGCACTGTAGGGTAATTTCTGTGTAGGCGTCTAGGTTTGGACCGCTTTGACATACTCTGCTCATCTTAGTAACAAATTGGGCGGAATTCAAATCCTCCTTCTGGAAGGTAACAAAGTATGTGAATCCACTGTAGGCAAATGCTGAAACGTACTTTATGCAAAACTGTTCCACTTTGGCATAGCTCATGAAAAATACGGCATCCCTAAATTCCTTTTGCGATAAAAATTGATAATGTTCCAGGGCTCTTCTTGCAATTACTGGAAAGATTCCTCGTTCGTTAATATTTTCACCAGTATACGTAACGGCAACAAAAAGCACCGATACACTGTTTTGCCCCGGAGCAATCAGACTAACGGTTGATGCATCCTCAAACCCAGCAACGTAGGGAACCGACTCCATCATCACGTTACTGATATCTTGCAACTGCCGTAACTGACAAATACCCTCATACACACCGCCACAGGTTATCAAACTGTTTGGTTGAGTATTGTCAACTATCAGTATCTTGTTGTAGTTATTTGTATCATGGCAGGGCATATCTGGCCTGCTGTCATCACAGGTTGATACATTCTGTATCTCTGCCAAACCACTGTTCAACCTGTACAAACAATTGACAGCTCCAACATACACATCACCATGGTCACTCAATGCAAAATGATTGAACTTTGATGCACGTCTTTGAGTTTTATCCAAAATATCGGGATTGTCAAAGCTGGCCAACTCATAGTCTGACAGGTCTCCGTGCCACTCAGCTGATGTGGTAAAAACATTTACGCAGATGATGCTCCAAGTCAGAGCAATTGCCCACGGGAGGGTGGAGTGTCTCCTACAAGAGTCCATGATCTTCAGTTCACGGAGGATGTTTGAGATGGCAATGCACCTTTTTTTACAATGCGGTGGGTCTTGGAGAAAAGTCTATAGTCACAGGCTGTAAAAAGAATTTAATAAAAAAATACCAAAGTTTACCATACAGTAAGGGAATCCATACAATAAATGAAAAGATTTACAGATAAAAGATTGTTCTCCTTATTCCTAAATGATTTTTTTTTCACAAACGCTGTAACTATTGGTTTTGCACAAAGTCGATTTCTCGTTTAATATGAAACGAATGTCCAGATCGGATCTTCGATTCTTCGTTCGATAACCTGAAAAATATACAAAAGGGTGAAAATAAAATACTTTTATGACTGAAGAGACAAAAAAGATGCCAAAATAGGACTGGACTGTCGATTTCATTTATTTGTATTTGTATCTTTCCAAGAAAAAACACACAACTTTTTCCACTTTTGTGGAGAGAAGAATGACAAAGGCAGTTGGCTGTTTCTCGTCTTTTAGAAATATTGGTTGGGAATTCACATTAATTTCTGGTTAACATGGAAGTGGATAGTTAATGTCATACTCGGTTCTCCGATTGTTCAGCAACCCGGATCTACTACCGCGTGGGCCTTACCAAAAATATCAAGCTGCAACAATATTAATGGTGGATAACCATTAACAAGGGTAGCAACACCTTTAAGACATGGATTTTGTTCGAATGGGGCTTTTGTGGTTTTTTTCCCAGAAAAGTTTGCCTGTGAAATATCAAAAATCCATCAAATATAAAATGTTAAACATAAAAAGTTTAATGTCACGTGACTTTCATGAACATTTTTACAATGCTGGCTAGCACGTGAAATTAAGAAAAATTATTCCGAAGCATTTGGTCATTTAGTCTAAAAAATATCTTGAAGGTTTGAGATTACAAATGTCTTTAAGCTGGATATTAAAACGAAATGTGGTCGTCCTTTTTGTCAATTAAGATTGACCTCTTTTCGTTGATTTTCTTTACAGATTAAATCTTAAATGTAACCCTTAGGGCATATTGATATCTTTTGACTGAAAGCAGGTTCGTACAGTCCATCCATGGGCGTCACCGGGATTTTTTCCAGGGGGGTGGCAAAGCAAAATTTTCCCAAAAAATTCCTTAACTTTTTCATTATAATCTCAATTTATCATTTTTCCGAACTTGAGCAGGGGAGCATTTGCCCTCCCCCCCCCCCCTCAAATTAACAGCAATATGGTTTCGCACCTCTTTTTTCTTTCTTTTTTTTCTTTTTCCTTTGTTTTTCGTTTTCCAGGGGGGGGGGAGTGCCCCCCCTTGCCTCCCCCCCCCCTCGCGACGCCCATGAGTCCATCTGTTTACCGCTGGCCCTCTAAGTGCAAAACGTTGTAGAATTCCACATTTAGTATACGCCTGCGATTCCCCATTCGTTCTTCCTCATAAATAATTTATATTCTACTAGACTGTGGAATAACCAATGACTGTATGACGACTGTTTTGAGCTGTGGGGAAAAGTTATAAATTCAAGATATCAAACGTACCTGATAGTGTAGGTTGAATCACTAGCACTCAGGAAATAGTCTGTGACAGTTAGAAATATTGGATTATACGAGAGCAGTCACATCTATAACAGAGCTTGATGTGACAATTGTGTTAACCGCCACAAGTAACCGTGCTAAATGGGTTAGGCGCAGAGCAGCTAGTTTTAGAGTTTAGGCGATCTCAGGAGTGCGACGTGATTCTCCTCAACATCCCTTTGCTCAGTTTAAAGAGCAAAAGTTTAGTGACTGATGCTGATGTCGGCACTCCAATGAAGGTTCTTCATGTTTGTTAAATCACTCTACCGCCCAGCCCATATATAGCCACATCAGCATGAACACACCAAGAGTGGCAACAATCTAATGTCGATAGGGTGCGCCGTGCAGTACGGTGTACACATATTGATAGAAACACATGTTAAATAGAAAAGTTTCTTCATGGGCGAACGATCATTTGTTAAGTTGCCGTAGCTGAGTTTTTACCAAGACCTAGCCTTTTATAGTCAAGTCCCACGCGCTTACCCGGACACGTGACGCACCCCGGATGCTGGCACGTCAAACGACTAGCACGAGCGGCGAAGCCGCGAGGGCCTTTACCTTTACCATCTCGTGGAGAACGCTTATGTTTTTCTTTACATTTGTCTACCAAAGTGGTGAACATGCATAATGCATTACCCGTTGTGAATTAACCAATGAAAATGCAGTATTACTAACGTAAATCAGCCGTCGTCTGGCGCCAGACAGCACGCGCGCCACGGCGCGGGTGCTGTTGCTGGTAACCGCAAACCACCGTTAGATGATTGGTTTATATTGCTTGATTTATATTACGTGAATTAATGAATACGTGATTAGTTCCACGAGATAGTAAAGGCCCTCGCGGCTTCGCCGCTCGTGCTAGTCTTTTTACGTGCCAGCATCCGGGGTACGTTACGTGTCCGGATGGTCCGGGTATAGGCGCGTGGGACTTGACTAAAGGCTAACCAAGACCTGGTTCAAGTATTTTTGGGTTTCGTTTCCGGGTGTTGAAACTCAAGGTCTTTTTAACAGTTCCCTGAACGGTTGGTGAACTCGCTAAGTTGACGTACACTCAGTGTAAGTTGTAACTGTGGTGAACCAAATATTTTAAAACAAATTACTGACTGGTTTTCTCTTGTTTTAGAGATTGACAAGAACTCTATAATAAGATGGAATTTTTGCGTCGGGGTGAAATAAATCAAGGTTTGTTTTGCCCTTCACCGACGTTTTTAACTCTGTATACTCAGTGTGTTACCTCCCGAGTCGGTGAAGGGCAAAAATAAACCTAATTTGATTTATTTCACCCCGACGCAAAAATTCCATCTTATAATAGTTTATGCGGTACCCGCTGCTATGTACATCAGATTCGAACCGGCCAACCGATCCCGTTAGCTCGGTGGTCGAGTGGTAAGACATCTGCACTAAATAGCAGGAGGTCGTGGGTTCGAGTCCCACCCGAGTGATTTTTTCCAACTTTCACTCGGGAGGTAACATACTGTGTTTAAAAACGTCGGTGAAGGGCAAAAAGTCACACAGTAGACTTTGCATATTGACCACAGAGCTATATTAAATAACTAGAGCGCTAACTCCTCATTCTGCGCGCGGAGACGCTTTGAAGCCGTCCCGGGCGCAGACATTTTCAATTCATGTGCGTGTTTTAGTCAGGTTCACAATGTATTTTCGTTGGGGTTTTATGGGGATTAGCAAAACTATACATTTTTGAAAACGTTATGACCTACTGAATCCAAAAACCAATATTTCCATTTTTTTCCGACGCCATTATGTCGGCCATTGTGTGGGGACGTGATAAAAGGGGGCGGATCCAACCCCCCACTCTAAGATCTTGGCCGTGCCATGACAGATTTGATTCAATTTGGTATTCTTGTGAAGATAACACTGCTAAGAACATGTGTAGAGTCTCAGTTCAATAGAACAAAGCATTCTGTAATTATCTTTGTTTATAATTCACATTAAAAATTATCCCTTTATCCTATACATATTCAATGAAAAACTTACCATTTTACGATACCCTGCGTTTGAAATTGACATTTCGCAATAACGATAGGTCCGAATTTTGTAAAATAAAGTGTCCCCTTGTGTACATCACATCGGCATAATATTTAGTTTCATTAAGGCTGTGGACGATATTTTAAAAGGCACAATTATTGGGAGAAGGGGGGGGGCAGGGCGAGGGATTCCACAGTTCTTGTATTGGGTTAAACATGGGTAATCCTTACTAGTTCTTTGTAGCCTGCGCAGGAACATATTAAAGGACATGGACACAATTAACACTTCATAAAATAATCAACACCAAATAGGAGGGCATGTACATGTACATTAACACATACAATGGTACTTTTTAACATATTGTAGCTAAATTCAAAACTGAGCAGAATACTTAGGCCACGATGGCCCAGCGCCTGAATTCCCGCACTTGCAATAATGAGTGCTTCAGTACGCGGTGTACCCTCGTGGTACCGGTGTCACATGAAAATCCGACTCCTATGATAATCGGACCCCTGTTTCCCTATTATTGGTTGATCCCTCGCACGTTACAGGTCACTCTCCCGAAACGATCCTAAAAATAGCATAGTATCGTACTCACGCGTGCGCAGTACTACCAATGAGTCCACATTTCATGGAGTCGGATATTCACGCTACACCGGCACTCGATAGTCTGAATGTTAAAAAGTCCGAAAAAATTCCCGTACCGGGGTTCATTATAGTCAGAAAATGAAATAAGGTTAGTTAATTCAAGCATTTAATTTTGATGATAAAGTCAGAAGGTTCGAAAGTCAAAATGAAAGGTTAATTAGTCCGAAGGTTCATTAATCCGAAAGCACACCAGATTCATTTGTCCAAATTGACAATAAAGTTCGATGCTGTCAAGTCGGACTATCGAACTTTCGAATTGCGGACTAATGAACACTTAGGACCAATCAAGTTTTTGGACTAACCAACAATGGACTAATGAACATTCGGATTAACGAAGCTTCGGACTATCGAACCTTCGGATCAACGAAACTTAAGACTATTGAACCTTCGGAATAGCGAGCGGTCACCATACACTCACAGGAGCCCCTTCCATGGCGAAAGCATGGTGCAAGCTGCTGCTATTCAAAGTAACTGCCCCGAGACGGATTGTCTGAACAATAGATGGCACCATTTCAAACCAGTATTGCCTTAGCTATGCCTGGACAGGTCATCACTACAGAGTGCTTGCTCCTTAATCCTGTGTCCTGCGTCCCCATGCAATCCTGAGTTCTTGATAATCTGCCCTGAGTAAGAGAGCCCATGTGAAAGATCATGACATGTCACGTTGTAGACTGCCTCTATCATACCAAGTTCACACTTCTGGCCATCAGTTAGACCTGTTGTTATTGGTAATTGACCAAATGAGATACATATGTATAGGACTTGTGATAGTCTGAATTATAAAGCAGAACAGTAAGTATGGCTCCTGGTGA